GTATACATTTGCATTAAATTAATATTAAAATACTAAATGTTTAGGTTCTCACGAGTCAAGTTATTAAACTTAATAGTGCAATAAATGTCTGAATCCAGAGCGCTAATGAATGCGAATAGTTTGTATCCCATATCAGTTCTTTCAGGAAAACACCTTACGATGCAGTAGCACTTCTGGCAATCACAAATTATCGTTAGTGAGACAAAATCTACTTCTCGTTGGCCAGACGATACCTTCTTATTGGCCAGATTATATCTAACTCTCCTTAGCGAGATGAAACCAACTGCAATTTTTACGCCCAAACTGACCATCTGTGTATATGCACTGCGCGGCCGGTAGCATATCCTTTCAACTATGGAAAGTTTGATGAATGAACTTTGTGAGTTACACAATGATTGGGAGTGAAGTGCAAATGTAAAAAGGAGCATCATCGCATCCATTAAACCATATTCCAAAATTATTAATGAAAGAAAACAAAAATCAAAACAATTACAAATGGATACTTTTTTCCGAAAAATGTAAGAGATCCGAAACTTTGAAATATCATTTGTTTTTCTTAAGATTTTTTTAATAAAAACATTTCATTTTATTTTAGCATAAAATACATTTTAAAAAAATTAAATTTATAATATATGTATTTTGTATTAATAAACAAAATTATTTTCTTATTTTTCACTTATGTAAAACTTAATCCTATACCTCACTGTAAATATGGGTTCATTTTACACCAATTCAATTTGCACCGGTTTTTGTAGGAATGGAACTGCAGCATAAACCGAGGGATATCTGTATTTGGTTAATTTTTTCCGAAATTTGATTCGTTGGCAGATTACCATTTGATATTTGGCTGTGAATGGTACAGTTTCTTAGAGTTAAGATTACAAAATATTATGATATCTGAAAAATTTAAGACACAGTGGTACCTCAGAATACAAAATTAATCCGTTCCGAAACTGAGATCGTATCATGAAAATGTCGTAAGGTGAATCATTTTTCCCCATATGATTACATGTAAAACCAAATAATTCGTTCCAACACGAAAAACACACTCAAATTAAAGCTAAGTAGTACATTTAAAAAAATAACTTTAGTAAGGAAATCACTGAAAAATGCATTTTGTAGTTGTAAATGTATAAATAACCATAATAGAATAATAATTGATAAAAAAAAAAAAAATGTAGTTTTATTTGCACTTTACCTTTGAGGATAGACGGTGGAGATGTAAACTGGTGGCAGAGGAGAGGGAGAAGAGAAATGATACTAAAACTTAACTTACATAATATAATGTAACAATAACTTAAAAATAACTTAACACTAATTTTTTAATCTTTTCTGCTTTATATATATATTTTTAATTTTTTATTCATTGCTTTTTGCTTTCTTTCCTTCACTTCCACCAGCACTTTCACTGGATAGAGGTTGCTTGGTAAAATATTTATCCAAAGAGGTTTGGTTTGCCTACTTTTTAAAATGTTTCTAAAATGACTTAGGCAAATGTCATTACTCCGAGCGGCCAGTGTGAACCTTTTCGGAATGTTTCTTTTCAATAAAATCAGTCTCTTTCTGATAATACCTCAAGATTTCCTTTATTGAGCGAGATCCTTCCATGATGAAACAAACACACGGACTGACTTGTGAAACCAATGAACATAAGTGAATAAAAAAATGGTGCTATGAACTAATGTAATGTCATATGGTGAGTTTTTGTTCGTATCGTGGAGCAAAATTATGTTCAAATTTCATGTTGTATCCTGAAAATTTCGTATGCTGGGGCATTCATATCCTGAGGTACCACTGTACATTTTCAATTCCTGTCTACTTGATCATTGAATCTGTGCCATTTCATACCATCCGAGTGTCGCGATAAACACGACAATGGTAGGTTGAAATAACAAAACTCTTTTTATGGTTTTCATTTTGATGTTTCTTATATTATAGTATTTGATTTATATAACTACAAAGTTTATCTTACATAAGGGTGACCAATCTAACACATTTTAAAAATTCTTTATTCTTCTACTGTACACAATTTAAAGAATTTTTAAAATGCATTAGATTGTACTCTTGGGTGATAAACCAGGGTAGTTTTACCAGAATCAGGTGGCAATATTGATTAGAAGTACAAAATAATCTAATAATCTTAATCTGTGCCATTTTTATTTTTTGCCCGAGCAGAGCAGTGTTGGACTCATCTGCTAGTTTTATTAATTTTATTATTTTATATTTATTATGGTATACAGTAGACTCCTATAACATGGGTTCCTATAGTTCGGATTCCTATATCATGACGAAAAAATTGCGACAGTATCCATACAAACATGCTAAAAAAACTCCTATAATTCGGTAAAATGTCATTGCCGACTCGTGCCGCGACAGGATTGCACAAACTGTTGAGTTTAAACGAGCAGTGGACCTACCAAAAACCATTTGTTATTTAACATCCATAAAAATTATATTTATATTAATGATGTCTCTAAAGTTCAGAGAATTTTTTGCAAAAAAAATAATTTATCAGGAAGCACGCGAGGGCCATCCGGTGACAATCTCCGCGACGAAAACAAGCTTAAGCAATGGCGTAGTCGAACGGTGCACACTCAGTAAGTAATCCTATAATTTTTTGTTTATAGCATAGTTTATATGGATTATTCCCAAAAAATTATACGTATTTTGGAAATGTTGAGTCAAATTAGTCCAGAATCGATTAATTTTATGGAAGAAATNGATGGCAAGCTCCACGACGAAAACAAGCTTAAGCAGTGGCGTAGTCGAACGGTGCACGCTCAGTAAGTAATTCTACAATTTTTTGTTTATAGCATAATTTATATGGATTATTCCCAAAAAATTATACGTATTTTGGAAATGTTGAGTCAAATTAGTCCAGAATCGATTAATTTTATGGAAGAAATCTTTCAAACAGCCGTAGTCCGTAAACTGCATACGTGCCGGGCTGTGATTGGCTGGTCTCCTACAACCTGGATTCATAAAAATGGAACCTATCTACCGTGTTATAGGGGGGTCGACTGTATATTAATAATTTAATGCAATAAGTTCTTTGTTTAGAATACCAGAAAATATTCTTAAAATTCTAAAAAGCAAAACCACAGATTCTGGTTGTCAGTAAATTTTCCATAGCAACAAGATTACCAGATAATTTGATACAAAATTTAAAGAATTAAAATTTTGGAAAATTTAGTGATAATTATTAAAAAATATTTCAATGGAACATCTGAAAGTGACCATAATTCTTTATCCTTTAAACTGGTAGTTCTTAAACTTTTTCAAGATGTGTCCTCCGAGGACAACAGTTATAACTTATGGTCCATGTGTGCAGTATACACTACAACCCCCATTCTATTGAGTAATTTTGTTTAATTTTTCTTCTGGGCAGTATTTTTTTATTTCCACTGCATAATTATTTTTTATCTTTAATTTTTTCCATATCATATAATATCATCATCACATTACAACAGCAATTTTAGCAATTGAAAATGTTGGTTTTGTTTCTGTCCCCCCAAGGATGTTGATCCCCACTTCAGGAAGCTCTGCTCTAACAAACAAACTGTTACATCACTGCAACTCTCTCATCTAATGCTATATTCCTACTATTGATATTTTTGATCTTTTAATACCATCTAATTTCACTTACAATATGCAAGACATCAACATAATACAAACTAAAAGTTGGTGTCAAAATTTTGTCCAGTAAGATCCGTCCTAATTTAAATGGTATTGACCAATTTGGATGAAGGATATGTGAAAGGGAAGAAATAAATTCTGTTTTGTGAATTGCTAGAAGTTTAATCCAAATTGTTAATGTTAAACAGTTTTGGTTATCTTTGGTTAAGCTTATAGTTTATTGAATTTGACTTTTGTTGGTTTTTTAATTATTGATATTGTGAGACTACAGGGGTGTTACGATGTTACTCTAACCCCTTTGGTCCATCGGGTCATTAGGACTCGCTCACCAAGTCATTGGACAACTTTTTATAGAATGTCGCTGGGATCACCAGATCCTTTCGATGTCAGGACTGACACCAGCAAGGATAGAAGTTTTGTGCCCTAATTCGTGATGTTATGATCTAGATGTTAAATGGAGGGCTATATTCTATCGAGCAGGGAGGAGTTGTGGGTAAGTTCTGATCATAGCAGGGTGATTATCTGTACTTAAGTAACTGAGGGAATTGATTAACAAACAACAAAAAGGATTTAATGAGTAAAATAAAACAAAGAGATACATAATATAACCTATCGTAAATCGAACTTATCTAAAATACACCTCTAAATGCACGAGAGAGAGAGAGAAAGTTTACAATTGGTTACAAATAATGATAATACCTCAGTCAATCAAACTTGGAGAATGCAAGATGAATGCTGGAGAGTCAGAGTGGGACTATCTTCTTCTTCTAATTAGTATAGCAGGTTCAAATTCCATGGACTGCCTGTCGTTTATGGCATGTTTCTTCTTCCCTTGAACTGCCATCTCTGTGGCAAGTTCCTTTCGTTGTAGACTGTGCCGAACTTGTGTATTTGTCCCCTTTTTATTCTAAGTTTCCACCAATCGGATTTTAGGATTCTGATCATCTGACAGGACATACATCTGACGCTAGAGACAGATGTTCATCAGATATTTGCGATAACAACTTTCTAAGAGAAGTTCTACTTCCCTTTCCCACACAAATCACAACTTTTGTCTATTTTATTGCTAAAATATTACATTGAAATTATTAATCAAGCAGGTAAAAGTCTAAGACTGTACCAGCATGTGACAAAACAAACTGAATAAATTTTCAAATAAAATCAATCTCCACTCTTGCATTCTCACAATATATTTCAAAACAACACTTAATGACAGTAAAATATAGATTTTATTGCAATGTACAGTTTCTTTAATTTATAACTATAATTATAATATAAACCTCAAACTTACCTTTGTTTTAATAAGAGTTTCAACAGTTTCATGTAATAAAGGGTGTGGACAAGTTTCATAAACTATTACTTTTTCAATTTCTTTTCCTAAAAAGATATTCAATTAATACAAATTAGATTTAATACAAAGTAAGAACTGAAAAATTAACTTACAATAAAAATTTTCCAAACTTACCATGCTCATTCAGAGTTAAAATATCATCATTTGCTAAGTTACTACAAGGATATAAGAATGGTAATGTAGGTAGATCAGTTTCTAGTAAGAGATATATTTCTATTATAATTACAGCAATATCAAAGAAAAGATAATTTGAAAACACATTTCAATATAATTAAAACTACTACAGTAGAGCGTATTTTATCCAAAGGTCGGTTATCTGAAACGTCGGTTATCCGAAGGAATTCCAGTCGACAAATTTAAATTTTCGCCAGTGCTGTGGCACTGTAATCTTTGGCTATGTCTTCAGCTATTCAAATATTTTACGTTTTTGATACTAAATTAACTTCTGAAGTATAAATTTTTATTGTTTTTATATTTTTCAATATATTTATTTTGTTTGTACAAAATAAAAAAATAATTTTTAACGATACAATAGTCTTCGTTAGGCTTAATATCGACGAAAATTCAACGCGAAGCGACACGCAACGGAGAAAAATTTCAACACGGGATAAATTAGTATATTTTTTCGTACATAATTGGTTATCCGAACAACCCCAGTCCCCAATTGATTCGGATAAATGACGCTCTACTGTAAATATTTTAGGTTACATGATATTTTGGTTCATTAGATTAGTGCTGGTGAAATAAGGTATAATAAATGTAACATTTTAAAAGATATCCAGTGATTTTCAAGTTCATTAGATTATTAATTTATTACTTATTTTTATAAATTACAGTAGAACCGCTCTAGTCCGCCCTCGGCTAGTCCGTCAGTCCGGTTAATCCGACCGTGGTTGGAGTCGAGAAACTTGTCCCGACTCGTCAGTGACTCACTGTCTGTGGCATTCTTCTGTGTTCGTTACAGTACTGTATATGTTTTACATTGTGTGTATGTGTACAGTTTTGTGTGTGTTTTCAACATGTCAGGAGTGAAATGTACACATGTTACTCTTTCATTAAATGAAAAATTAGCAGTGCTACAAAGACTGGACAAAGGGAAGATTGTTTATTTTACTTTTTTCTGATAATCCGACCTTTTTGCGTTCCGACCATACCCCCCAGTCCCAAAGGTGACAGATTAGAGGGGTTCTACTGTACACTTAATTAAATTATGTGTATTTTGAATAAGAAAATCATTAGATTTTACAGTAGCTTGTTTAAAATTTATAAATACCATATTGTTATGGATTAAAAAAAAGTCAATAGATGGTGCCAATAACACTTTGCCAAGCTATTTAAAGATGTCAACTTGCAATTTTAAATGGAATATTTAAATTTAAATCCACTGTACACTCAAATACCTCGACATTAATGGATTTTCGCCAATAGGTGGAGTGATATTAAGTGAAGAAAAGTTCCAATGACCAGCATGTGACATTAAATGAATTTAACTGTATAAAAATTTAAATATTACAAAATACAGTAGAAAAAGTTAGGAAAATAATTTTCATATTATAACTTAATTTTTTGAATTAATAATCTTTGTTTATAATTTAAATTGGTTTGCCCTATGATACTATTTGAACTACAGTAGAGCGTCATTTATCCGAATCAATTGGGGACTGGGGTTGTTCGGATAACTTATTTTTCAGATAACCAATTATGTATGAAAAAATATATTAATTTATCCCGTGTTGAAATTTTTCTCCGTTGCGTGTCGCTTCGCGTTGAATTTTCGTCGATGTTAAGCCTAACAAAGATTATTGTATCGTTAAAAATTATTTTTTTGTTTTGTACAAACAAAATAAATATATTGAAAAATATAAAAACAATAAAAAATTATACTTCAGAAGTTAATTTAGTATCAAAAACGTAAAATATTTGAATAGCTGAAGACATAGCCAAAGATTACAGTGCCACAGCACTGGCGAAAATTTAAATTTGTCGACTGGAATTCCTTCGGATAAACGACACTCTACTGTATAAACAATTTTGAAAAGATTTCTCAAAAAGCAAATGAATATTAACAGAGCTACTAATGCAATTCTTTTCTTATAAATAATTCATTATTTAGTTTATTGTAATATAAAAGATCAAACTGCCATTACTATAACTGAATAGTAAAGAGTAATTTTAGTTTCTCAAACTTCATAGTCTGATCCTTCATATTACAACATTATACAGAGTCTCATGCATTAGTAAAATGTATAAATATTTACTTACGTTCTAAAATTATAGAAACCAGAGCTTTGGCACTTCCTGAAATTTGTCCAGAGCATACTATCTGCAGTTTTGATTCTGAAATATTAATTTCATATTAAAAAAATAATAATTTATTTTCTGTATAAACATATTATTAAAATAAAATCTGTAAGATATAGTAAGAGTATTTATTTCATTTATTCTATACACAAGTTTTCAAGGCTTATTATTGAATAATATATCTGACATAAAAAAGACATAATAAATTAGCTTAATAGATAATTTTATCTAATTTGATTATGATTAACATCTGTATTCATTTGAACATATTTTATGAAAACAAAATATGTTTTTGTTAATCATAAACAGTTTTACAAGAATCTAAGCATATGAAATTAAAACTTATATCTGTAAAATATAGAAAAACATTTTTTATGTGTAGTTAATTTTTAAGATCATAAAATCTTAAAAATAAAATTTAACTTGTTGAATTAAATTGTATTTTAAAAGTGATCTTAAAAATACTAACATTTTCAAAAAATGAGAACATAGCCTACTGTATGCAACAACAAACAAAAATTAAACACCCATGTCCCATGTTGGATATTATCCTTGTTAAGTATGGGCTTTACCATTCATTTAATCAATTAGGCCAATGTTTTGGATGTCATGTGATTCAAGGCCTTGTCATTTGTTGTCCAAAGTGTAGTACAGAAGTGCATAAAGAGAGCAGTGAGCTATTGTGCATTTTTTCATGGCTGAAGGCTTTTGTGATTATTTTATAATGTTCTTTTCTCTTTTACCTTAAAATTTAAAATGACTCCTGGATATATTTGTTGTTGAACCAACTTTACTTTGTATTCATTAATATATCTTCCGTTGAAGAATGGTAAACAACCTTTATGTATATACTAAATCTTCCAATAGACACTGGGTCTCCTGTAAACACCATATGGGCTATTTAGTTTAAACTGCTAAATAGATGCCGAGTGTCATTACATTCTTATGCTCAGCTCGTAAAGCATAAGAATGTTCTGTACGTGCTGTGATAATTTCCCATGGAAATCTTTGAAAAATGTTTTTAGTATGACACAACTGTAGTATATGGTAAATAATACATTAGTGGGCATATTGTTCTGTATTTTCTCTTTTGAATTCTCCATTTTATACAGATCAGTGAAATATATGTCAATCAAAATGACAACCAAGAGGTCTTACAGCATTATCTTCAAATTGAACATAGTTGTGAATTCAAAAGAGTCCTCTGGAGAAATTCAGCAGTGTAGAAATTCAAATTGCATCAAAAGCAAATTTGCAAGTGGAGAAGCAAATGTGATGCTCTTAAGATTATCAAGAATAAGAGTGAAGCAAAGAAATTGGCAGGAGGAGAGTGCAAGATCAACAAAGAATTAGAAGGCTCTGCAGTGGATCTGTGAGCAGAGAGAGAAAAATAAGCATATCTCTGGATGGATGGTGATGGACAAGGTAAGAGAAATCTTCACCAAGTTGATGAAAGTGATAAACAAAATGCAGTGTTCACAGCTAATGGAGGGTGGCTGGAAAAATTCATGAAATGTAAATATGGTAATACCGTAATTATTTTATGATTATGATAGTAATGCTGTTATGCAATAGTGTACTTTTCTGTTAAATGAAAAGTTCTATTAATTACTTGCAATTTTCATTATTTTGTAGAGAGAATGGATGGGAAAATCATGGCCGGTGGTAGTGGAAAGAAGAATGAACTGTATTTCTCCCTTTTTATATCACTAATTTGAATGCAAAATTATGTGAGAATGGAACAGATGGCAGGTCTCCAACAGGGGTCAGGGGCTAAGTATATTCTGTCCAATTGATGCCTGAGCATCTATTAGAAGATTTACAGTACTACTAAATGTCTGAAATTGTTTGGCTTATTGTAATTAAATACAAAAAAAAATGGTGCAAAATATTGCCACATTTTAAGAATCCTACAGCCCAAATGAGAACAGAAAAAAAAAAAAAAAAAAAACATAAAACAAGTTTCATTAAAACTGGGCCACAGATTACAGAGTTATTGCAGTTTTTCTGCCAATGATGTCATTCTTTATGACATGACTTTTTAAAGTTGCCAATTACTAATTACAAATAATGACTTTGATCTATAAGCAAATTGACATTTAGAAATTTTCAATTCCTTCTCCAACCAACCCAATGATCATTTACCTGCAATTTGACAAAATATCTTTCTTTCAGTTAATAGCATGGTCAATAGTCAGTAGTTGTTTCAGTTGTTTTTATTTCCTTTCTTATTTATTGAGATTAGTACTATCTTATTCCAAATGTAATCATTTAATTATATAATTTTAACATTTATGTTCTAGAATTTGAATGTAAGGCAGAGTAATATTCATAAGAAAGTCTGTCATGCCCAAATACTTTCAATTTTTCAATTTTTGCAAAACATAATTACAACTATATATTGTTAAAAACTGTTGTAAACTTGTAATTGTATCATATGTTGTCACCACTTGTGCACCAAATGTGGACTGTTACACATCTCCTTTATTACTGCTCCCAGCACCTTGTTGTAATGCTTGCACCTGCAACTCTGTCATCTTAATGTTTTTGATATATACTGTACATAATCTGTCTGTATAACTTTAGTTCATAAATGTAATTGGCTAACTTATAACTGTTTTGTTCAGCACCCTGTACATCATGCCACTCTGCAATGTTATGAAGATTTATTACACATGTCTACACTGATAATGCTTACTGCTCATACAGTTATAACTGTGTTTTCATCTTTATATTGTATAGCTTTGGGCATAGTTTTAGGTTTATTTTTACCTTGTATAATTTTAAATATACTAAAACCTTTAGTTAATACCAATTAATGAGGGACTATTTTCTGATAGAAAATAGTCCAAAATTTTGAGTTTTTTCGTTTCCATACTTATGTAGTCATTTTTGTGTTTATTAAACATTTTCACTTTAATTCCTGAACATTTGTGCCCATCATTGGTCTGATAAACCCTTTCTATTATCTGCCTCATAGTTGTTGATAATTTAATTAATATAATAATCTCTCATCTCAAATTGTTATCAGAAATGCAATAAAAAATTATAATTACTTGTAAGGAAGATGACATGAATTAACAAGACTGCAATGAATGAAGTGTTAACGATTAAGTATGTAAACAGGGTTGAGTGGGTGTATGTGATGTCATCCCAAATGTACTATAAGAGGAAGATGAATTAAAGAATCGAATGAGGTAGTGCTAAGGAGCTAGTGAGATTGACAAAAGGCTTTCCAGTTCTAGTGACAGTTTATTGGCAATGGTTAGACAAATTAGTAAGATTCATTGTGCTTTTTTGACATTTTTCATATTTTACTTGTCGGTTTTGTGGAGATTGTTCTAAGATAATTGTAGCTTAATTTTTAAGTCCCCAATTGTTGGGATAGTTTTGCATACATGTTTTGATTTTTCGATAAATTGTCTTTATTTGCAAGTTATTCTCTAACATTATTTCTTCATTTTACATATTTGGGCTTTTAACAATAAATATATTTTTTGCATTACATATAGTAATTATTTCAGGTTTTGATATTAATAACAATTTTCATTTATTTTATTGTCCATGCAAAGTCCAGGCCTAGAACTTTCAAACTCTTTGTTTATGTAATGCACCATTAGAATGTTATCCGGGTTTTTGATTTGATAGATAAGACATTACAACAAGAGCAGGTTTCAATGTACAGTTGACCCCCCTATAACACTGTTGATAATTCCGTGTTATATGAATTCCATGTTGTACGAGTCACTTAGATTTTACAAATACATGTGCCGGGCTGTGAACGGCTCACGTATTTGTAAAATCCAAGTGAATTCATATAACACGGAATTATCAACAGTGTTATAGGGGGGGTCAACTGTATATCACAAATCTATTTTTGTTGCTGCAGCAATATGCATCATATACAACTCCACAGGCACTGTTATGAATACATTGTTTGTAAATTGTAAGTACTGGTGCTGTAAGTACAGTGAAATCAATAATAAATTCAGCAAATCCATGCAAATATGATGACACACAATACATACTTTATACCTCACTATGATAATACTATGTCAAATAGTCAGTGTAAGTTGTAGAGTTTTTTCATCCATAAAAAATGAAATAAAAAGAAAGATTTTAAGATTTTGAAAATACAGATAGAGAAAAGTGAAAATAATTATGATAACATAAAAGTGCAAAATACAGAAAATACAAATTATTGAGAGTGATACTGATGATAAAAGATGTACTTTTGTAGATGATAATGAATGGCATGATGTTACATACAATACCTGCCAGTCACTCAAACTTTTTGGAGTGCAATTTTAAATGTAATATTAAGTCCAACAATTACAAAAAGCATGCCAAGTTCAAATTTGGGTGCTTGAATTTAAAGATGTTTTTTGAGTTGCAGTCACTCATATTTGAGATGGAGTGTTAGCAACGTCTCGTCTATGTGGCTTACAGAATTGTGTTTATTCTCAAGATCTGTTTGATGAATTTTGATTAAACTTTGCCATTTTCCATTAATTATGATGAATCCAAAAATGTAATAAGGGTCCATTTAAATGTAAAAATTAGGAGCCCATGACTTCATTTTCAATATACAGAGGTATTAAAGTGACAATGTCTGTGCTCTTTGATGCAACTGAATGCACTTAACTGAATTTAGGCCTAGGAGTCAAAAATAAAAACAGCATTGCATGTGCCTACCAGAAAATAGGTGTGAAAAACAAACAAAGCAATCAATAGTGATTGCTTTGCTTTTTGATTGTATCTCTGTGTCAGCAAGTGCAAGGATCGTGCCTCCCATGGCCGGCAGGTACGTGGATCACCTCTCCCATGATCTGTGGTATGTCTATAAAACATTAAAAGAATGCAAAGAAGTTGTCAATGGATGAAATGGAACAGTTGCTTGTTAAATGGTTGCAGCAAGTTCAGAGTGCATGCATCCCTGTGAATGGAGCTGTACTCAAAGAAAATGATATAAAAATCACAGCTAGACGAATTGTAGTAGACTAATTTGCAGCATCAAATGGCTGGATAGACAGGTTTAAAAGAATGGATTCATGTATTACAGCATTTCAGGAGAGAGTGCTAGTGTTGATGCCAACACAATTAAAAGAAGTGAGAAACTCTACCCTTCCCTGATACCTTGACAAATACACTCCTTGTGACATATTCAATGCCAATGAAACAGGTTTGTTTCTCAACTTGTTGCCAGATAAGAATTATGTTCTGAGAGGCAATGACTACTGTGGGGATGAATGCAGTAAAGAATAACCATCCTACTTTGTAATATGGATAGTACTGAGAAATTGGAGGCTGTAGTGGACAAAAAGCTTGTGAAACCAAGAGCCTTCAAGAACGTTGCCATCTGCCATGCATTGGAAAGTGGCAAATTTTCTTGAAGCTGTTCCATAAGATTTTCAAATCAACAATTATCAAGCAATGCATTGCATTGCTGTGTCTTAGGATCATGTCAAGGCATTAACAATTGCAAATTGCTTTAAGACTTTCAAATAAATGCAGATTCTAAACCTTGAGATGACACCAATGGATGCTGCTTTTCGTGTGGAAAGTAGAATTGATGACGAGGACTGGCATAGTACAGCACCCACAGATGCTTTTAGTAGAATACTGGATTTCAATGAATATGTGGCTTGCAATGATGTCATAGTGTGTGGCTTACCAACAGTGAAAGAACTATGTGCCAAGAAAGAGGCAAGCACCAGTACTAAAAATGTTCTGACAGCAGAACTTGGCAACAGTTCTGATGATAATAATGAAAAACCTGAGTGCAAGTCTAGTATTTCTGAGGGCTAACAGCATTGCAAACCCTCAAATCATACATTTTTGTCAAGTGTGCCAGTGAGGTAGACATGCTTACTGCGCATTATAAGGTACAGTGATTGGAGAGAGGTATTCCCGAGAACATTTCCAAGACATGGAAAGTCCAATATAAAATGACCGACTTCTTGTCCTTAGGCTTGCACTAAATCATGCTTTTTTAATTGTACAATAAACTTTGTCCCCCCCATTTAATTCTGTATACTGTATAATAGAATAAAGTTTTTATGTGAAATTATTCTGCATCTTTGCAGTTTCAAATTCAATTATGACAGTTCCCTGATTCACCATTTCATGCACTTAATGTTTATTTTTCCCTATCCAATATAAAACCATTATATTAGGGTTTCACTAGTTCTAGTGGAAGTTCAACAACAACAAGGATAAAATTTCACTCTAACAGTTATCTTGCAGGCAATTGCTAGAACTGAAATTTATCCTCCCTGTTGCAAATATGTATATTTCACTGTCATGGAACTGTTTTATCACATTAAAACTATAGATTTTTTGCACATTAGTATGATTTAAACTCTTTTAATCAAAATGTGATGAACAATTTTGCATTTTATTATTCTTTGTGTAATGTTAAATTAAGACTTCTTCAGTTAACAGAAAAATTTTTTACATGTTTTTAGTATAAATTGACATTTTAGTAAGTTAAGCAGTGTAAATGTGTTGTCCTCTACAAGTTTATTTAAAGTACAAATTAATGTTTTTTGGAATACACTGCCTTCATATATATAACACTATTGTTTTTCATTAGTTAAAAAACATATTTCAAACCTGTGATTTGCTTTAAGTTTGTTTACATTCAAATATACAACTAATTCAAAATTAAAACAAATTTTGAATTAGTTGTATATTAACAACATTATTATACCTAAAAAAAAATAAATGTTTTGAAATAAAGTAAAAATTTCTTTTTACCTGCCATATTTGATGTTGTTTCACCTACTACAAAATTTCTTTTCCTTCTCCATTCTGATAAAATCTTCTCTCTCTCAGCTGTAGAATTTTATATAAATATTTATTAATTTAAGTAGAGCAATAGTTATTAAAATACAGTTAAAAATTTATCAGAAATTTGTGATTAAAAAAAATCTAAAACAATTGGTCATTTTGAACAAATTACTTTAAGAAGCAAAAAGTTTATCAGCTTTTTTAGTCTAGAATCTCTGGATATTTCACTCATTATTACTCTATTTATGTATTAATATTATAAAAAAATAAACTGTTATTTAAATACAAACTAGTGATGTTATATTTAAAATAAAAAAATAAATTTAAAAATTAAACTATTTCTCAGAGAAGAATAAGACAATGCAAATGCTATAGACTGAATTTTGTGATAATGTTTACTTCTTATGAGAGAAACATTTAAAAAAATGTTAAGAGAATAAACTCTAGTAATCTTTGTAAACATATTTTTATTTTAAAATTATTCAAACAGCTCTTCTTATAGAATATTTGAAATTCTGGAATTTTGTTAATAATTATTTCTTTAATAATCATGAAATATAATAAATTTTGGGTTGATTATAAAAAATAATTTCATATATTATAATTAATGAAAACTTTTATTGTCATTAGTAAATTATAATTTATTAAGCATAAACTATCATTTAAACACATTGACTTCCAAAGTTAGATATGGCTGCTGCAAAAGTGTTGGAGTCTTTTATCACCACCCATATACATAAGTAATGCTGACCTGTCCATCAGATCAATTCTTTTTTTAAAGAATAATCTAAATAGCAATAATATACTTTAATTATTCTTTTTCTGTTTCCATAACAACATAATCATTTGTAGTATGTTACCACAGTAAAGACATTCATACATCTGTAACATACCTTAAAAAACTGGCAACAAAAATATTTACTTCAAGTGAACGTTCTTATTCTAAAGAGCTCGAAGACGGCAATAAAGCTGGCCGAAAATGTTTGGCGAAATAAATATCTTTGTAAAGATGTTCCATAATTCTTTAAGTGTTTTTGAAAACAGAAGCGAGTGTGAAAGTACTGGTGCTTTGGTTTTTATCTTTAGTTTTAAATTTCATTAAAGTAAATATATTTTGTTTTTTTAACAATTGAATTAAAAAATTACTATTATTATTACTTTTTAAAGTGTCATACATATTTTTATTTTTGCATTTTCCTTTTAAAAAATATGTACATCTCCAATTAACAAAGTAATTATTACCAGAATACATTTAAGCTGTGATTAGTTAATGATTAAACATAATAGTTTGACCGAAAGATACACATTTAGGCAGCCAAGAAAATATACACACATTTATATAAGTAAACCTTTGCTTTGTAAAAAATTTCTATCAATAATATAAGTAAATTAATAAACCTTAAAATATTTTTTATGATGATCATTAATGTTAGATATAAAATTAAAATTACCTTTGTCAACCAGATTTAAAGCATTAACGACGGCTTCTACGACTCTAGAACTTGTAAAAATGAGGCTGCCATATTTGTCAAATTGTTGCAGGCAAAGCAATAAGCGATCGGAATTAATAAACGTGAACGCCAAGGCTGGAATGACTACCGGTTCCAAATTGATTTTTTGCAATTCCTAAAATATAATTTATTAAAAATAATTTAATAATGCATTTATGTTAATACAAAATTAAATGTAGATAATTCACATTTTAAACTTTTCATTATTTAGGGAAATCAACTAATAAAATCAATTTCATAAGAATGTATTTGAAATATTATACAATCTAATTAATTTATTATTTATCACACATTCATTTTTACATAAAGAAAATAGTTGTACAGTAGAACCTCGAAAACTCGTCCCTCGATAACTTAGCACTCCGGATAACTGGTCCACACCTTGGCAGGGCGAAAAAATCCTTAGTTAATTAATTTTCATTATAGACAGCTTTATAAAAGTATAAAAGCTCTCATAAAGTATTTTTCTGAGGTCTGTCTTATCAGGTAAATTACTGTACACAGTGTATTCATTAATTTTCATTTTCATGTAGTAAAGGCTCTATGCCTTCATAAAGGACGTACTTTTCCTTTGTTTAAGGGTATTTGGGCAGTTTATTCTCTGTTATATTCTGTACAAGTAAATACTGTACAAGTACAGTACAGTATTTTCTGAGGAAATACTCGTACTTATTTTTTTTAACCCCATTCCCGATAACTCTGCATTTTCACAAACTCGGCCACCCTTCGGTCCACATTAGGTCGAGTTTTCGAGGTTCTACTGTAACAATATATTAGGTGAAACATTAAAATTGTCAGATAAACATTTGATTAAAAAGAAAACTCTAGAAATAAAAACAACTAGATGACCTTTTAAAAAAGTGTTTTAAAGTATATTTATATTTTTAATGTATCAATTTAAAATCATAATTGAGAAGTATAAAAATGTAAATAATAAATTTTTATGATTAATTAAATAATAATGTGATATAACCGTCGGCCATGTTTTTTTTACTATTTTTACCAAAATGTATTATTATGATAGTGGCAGACAACCAGAGGATGCCTTACCATATTTTGTGTATTTTGTTGCAGAGCTAGTAGCCTCAAAAGGAAGGTCGTCTCCATATCTTTGTAAATTTTGATGGACTGCTGATGGTGAAAAACGATGGAAGAAGAACAAAAACAAAGGTTTTACTTTATGAAAAAGTTTTATTTATAATTTTATTGTATATTAAATGTAATAAGGTGAATTTATAAGGACTTATATGAAAAATCAATGAGCTGTGTAACTTTCCAGGCAACAACATTTAAAATTACATGTGGCATCATCTGTTATGATATTTTATTAAAAAATTTTTTATATTATTAATTATTATAAAAGAGGGTAGGGATGAGTTTTATAAAAAACTTGTAAATGCTAATAACAAGTAAAATCTTCGAGTCTGACTCCATTTGAGATATGACATACGACCCCTCTCTATCTCTCCACCCCTTTTTCTTTGACCAAAATTTTATAGCATCAGTCCCCTAATACATAAACCTCTCTACAAAATTTCAAAAATTTTTGACAAAAGACATGTGAGTAATTAAGCATCAAAGTGGATAAACAAAATCATGCCTCCTCCCACTCACACTAATATTCATATATACAGAAAAATCCCCGAAAATTTTTTTTTGCATTACTTAACGTTTCAATGTCCCTAGGTCCAAAAAAATGTAGAAATTTTTGGGAAGTCATTTTTTGACCAATCACTATACTATATATAATTATTATCTATATATATAAAATTGCTTGTCCTGACTGACTCATTCACTCACTGATTCATCATCGCCCAGAGCAAACCGCTGAACCTAAAGAGATGAAATTTGGTAGGGTGCGTCATGAAAACGCTCACTAAGAACGAATTTTTTGAAATTCCTCTGCGAGAGGAGAGGAAGAGGATTAAGTATTAACCAGAAAAACGGCTTCTACTGTACTATTTTAGATGCAATTTTTTGTTTTTATCTGTTTTAGTAGGGTATACCATGGGAATGCACACTAAGAAGGGATTTTTCGAAATTCCCCAGCGGGGGGAGAGGGAGAGCATTAAGGCTTAACCAGAAGAACAGCTTCTACTGTACTATTTTACATGCGATTTTTTGTTACGTTTAGTCTTCATTAAGTACTTAAGTGTATTAAATTAATAAAATTTCAGACATTGTTATAAATATTTTTATATATTTTGATTTTTTAACCAAATGTTCGAACCTTTTTAAATTTGAATTTGTTATTGCGTATCGGTTCGATTATAGAACGATTGTAAACGTTCCAGAAAATTGATCAAATTGAAAATAGTTTGTTTGATTCTCAGCAATTCTCATCATTCTCGGCGGTAGGTGTTATATAACAATTACTATGGTTGTTGAAATACTGAATATAAATGGGGTTTGCTTGCAAAACCTCCGCGGGCGAAGTC